TTTAAATGGTAAATATAAAATTTGATTAAAATTTTCCAACTAATTCGCTTTGAATTAAACGGGTGAAAATAAATTATAACGGAAATGTTGTTCACCGTTCTTCTACGTAAATTCGATTCTGAAAATTGCACAGTTTCGCGAAACGCTGAAAATATTTAGTTTCACTGAAATATCATCATTAATAATTGTTGTTTTTTTTTTTCTTCTATTAAATATAATTTGATTAAATTCTGCTTACGAAATAATTATTAAAAAAAAAAATTCTATTAAATATAATTTGATTAAATTCAGCTTACGAAATACTTATTAAAAAAAACAACAGTGTTTCTAAACATTATATAGAATATGTGAATTTTTATCATTTCAATTTGATTAAAATTTTCCAACTAATTCGCTTTGAATTAAACGGGTGAAAATCAATTACAACGGAAACGTTGTTCACCGTTCTTCCACGTAAATTCGTTTCTGAAAATTCCACAGTTTCGCGAATCGCTGAAAATATTTAGTTTCACTGAAATATCATCATTAATAATTGTTGTTTTTTTTTTCTTCTATTAAATATAATTTGATTAAATTCTGCTTACGAAATAATTATTAAAAATAGCAACAGTGTTTCTAAACATTATATAGAATATGTGAATTTTTATCATTTCATTATTTGTGTTTGAAATGTTTAATCAAATGGAATAGTTGATAATCTTTACTACTTGTAGAACTTCTGTTATATAATTGCGTGATTGTTTGTGCTGTGAGACGACGACGTTCGGCCGGATTCATTGCTCGTTGCACACACGTAAATCTGGTCTGCCCATGCGATAATCGATATTAGTTGCAGGGCATCCCATAAGTAATACAGCGAGTTCCAATTTGTACACGAGTCGCCTTTGCTAACTTGCAATTTGTTACCAAAATTCACGTTAAAAATGAATTTTCTCGGAAATTTTGCTACAATTCGTATGTACTAAAAGTATCGATCCGCGTGTGCATTTCGCTAATTAATTATTATAATTAAATTGATTCAGTTTTATCTCTGATGCACGTAGTTGGCGATAAATGGAAGCAAATGGTGTTATGCAACAAATAGTTATCAATTAAAAAGATTGCTCTAATGAATCTATTGACTACTACTAAATAGTTTCAAATCTCGAAGCGTGGAATGTTTTTTTTTAATTGAGATCAAAATTAATTGATGTTGATGATGATGATACTTACTGAAGGCTGTAGCAGCTGGCACTGAAATCATACAAAAGAAAAAGAGAATAGCATTAGAGATATGTTGACAAATGTACATGACAATAACAGAATGATTTATTTTTGGAGTGTTTTGTTAAATCTCTCGATAACAAAAAAAATAAATAAAACGAACAATGTTAAAATACAATATTTAACAAGTTTATTGAAATGAAAATGATGTGTCACACGATAAGTTGTGAGTATTGTTGCTGCTTAGTACATAAGTGTGTGTGTGTGTGTATTTGATAAGGATTTGAAGTGCGAATTCCTTCTACTACGAGATTTCGTTTCGTGATTTTCATGAATGCAAAGATTTTGCAATCATTGCCCGAACAGATTATGAGTAGATTCCAAGGCCAGAGCATATCCGTTTTTTTTTTTTATAGAAATGTCTCACATCGAACTATACTTTTTTTTATTTAATATTCTAAAATTTGGTCACTATTAAGTGGGGCAATCGCAAGCCCAACAACCGAAATCTAGTCTATCGAAATCCCGACTGTATTAAAGTCCCGATGTTTGAAATCTCGACTATGTCAAAATCCCGACAAACATAATCCCGACAATCAAAATCCCGACTATATCGAAATCCCGTCTATCGAAATCCTGACTATATCGAAATCCCGACTACCATAAAAATGTTATTGTAGAAATTTATAATAATAAAAGACACTATCGGGATTTCGATACAGTCGGGATTTTGATATAGTCGGGCTTGCGATTGCCACCGATCAAGTGACTTCGTTTTGTCCCGCTTAGTTGTTGTTTGTTTATACAATCTATAAAAATACTAGCTTATAATTAGAGAAAAAAAATGAAAGGTATAATTACTTATTGCTTGAAATTAGCTTGTTTTTACTGATATTGTCAAACGGTTAATTACTTTTGAGGCATGTTTATTGGAAGTAAATTGACTTGACTGTAGGACATCATCAATTACAAAATATTTGAATTTTCGTAAAAAAAAATTGATAATGATAAAAATAGTTTCACTTTGAAGTGAGTTTACCAAAAAAAAGTTATGAAATTAATTTCGATTAAATAATTATGTAAAATTGATTTCAATTTCTTTGAATTACGTTATTTTATTTATAGATTACGTTCGTTTTTTATTGCGAATGTAACGCACGCTGCAAGTTTTTTTTTATCGCAAAGGAAACATTAAACTAAGCTAACGCTCGCATTACACAACAGCAGCAAACAAAGAAATAATAAATTTACAAACAAACAAACAAACAAAAAAAAACTTGAGCAATTGTTTCGATGTTTTTTTTTTGTTTCGGAGTTTTGTTTTTGTTTACGATATCAGTTGGAGTTTCGTGATGGAAGGTCGTTTGGAAGAAGCGCCGTGAAATGCACGAAGCGTTCGTCCTTTATCCAAGGTTCATCGATAAGTTTCGTAAATTTACAAACACACACACAAAAAAAAAGTAGTTTTTTTTTTGTTAATTAATGAATAATTACAATTTTCTAACAATTTAAAATTTTAATTAAGAATATTTACTTTGACTAAAAATTATTTTTTGTCAATTTTTTTAATTATAATAAGATTTGATAAATTTACTTTAAAATTCTAATTTGTTTGTTTCATTGTTCGTTTTAATTTTTGTTTTCGATGTCTAGATTGAATGTTTATTAATACTGAAGTGTTTTTTTGTTTCGTTTGTTGCTGAACGTCTGCGGGCTAAAGTGTACACAAATCGATCAATCGTGATTCATTAATACCACTTCTTCGATTACATTTTCATTATTTATTCATTTGTTATTGTTTATTTTTTTTGTTCGAAAACTCACCTGATTGGATCCATTGTCGATGTTCGGATTTGCAGGTCTCTTTGAAAACGCACTCCTCCACACCACCTGTAAAAAGAAACCAAAAACAATTGAATATATAGTTTTGTTGTCCTTATTGTGATGTATTTGAATTTGATTAATTGTAAAAGCGATAGTTGCAGTAAACGAACGTTGATGAAACAGATATTTCGTTGCAATTTGTAACAAATCTCGTTGTTACTTTTTTTTTGGGGAATTATTATGAAATATTTTAGATAAAAAAAAATGCGATATTTAAACAAATTCAATGAGAAAATTTTGTGAAAATACGTATACTTAGGTAATGTAAAGAGACTTAATTGATTGTTAATAGAAAAACTTAAATTGTTGATGAAAATATTGAATTAGATATAATAAACTAAATGTACAATTTTAACTATAAATAAGTCTTCGAGCAGGTGAAATCTATAATACAGCGGTCGGACTTTGGATTATAACACTTGTTTGCTCCTTCGAAACGAGGACTTTCGTATGCACGGAAATTGGATGTCCTGAAAAATTGATCGGCAGTTACGTCCTCGACCTTTGCCTCGAAAATCGCGGTGATCGTCTCCTTGAAAACAGCCGACTCTCAAATATACAATCATCATTGGGATTCCAATACGTAATCGTTTGAATCGTAACTGTTGTTCTCTACAACCAACAATTAATTTTTGAATATGTAAGACTTGCTATTTCGTGTTTGTGTGTGTGCGCGCGTCCAAATTTTAATTATTCAAGTGGTCTTAATCAAAACTGAATCGAATGACCTCATTCATTGTGCACGAAAATAGTGTTGAACGCCACTCGATTCATAAATAAACACTAAACAATAGTTAGTTAACAGTTGCTCCACTTTTAAATCTATTTTTTCGTCGATTTTTAAAACTTAGGACTTAGAGCGTATCCTCGGGGAACTTCCAGTTTACTCATTCACAAGTATTCGCATTTTTTTTTTTAATTAATAAAATTGCGTGCTTTCAATTATTCCAATTGAAGTTAACAACATATTTATTTCGCGTGCAGACAATATTTTTTTTGTTGAGCTTTCTAAAAAAACGAAAACGTGAAAGGAAAGGTCAAAAATTTAATCGATTTTGATAAGAGATGATCTCTCGCTTTCGCGAGCGTGAAAATGTGTCAGGTCTGTCGTTTCAGGTGTGTCAAGAAATTGAAGAGAGAAGAGAAAGAAATCAATTACCAAAAAAAAAAAAAACGCACTTGATGTTTTATTGCGGATAAGAGAAACTTTATGAGAAAAAGTGTTATAATTAAATCAATGGATAAGGAAGTTGTTGTTGCTGTTGCATTAAGTACACGAAAGTTTGTCTGTAGTCCGAATTTCTATTACTTGTACAATACGAATTGTTATTAATTAAATAACAAAATGTTTACAACAATTATTGCTAGTTTATCAGCATTTTTTTTTTCAGTGAAAATTGTATGTTTTGTTTATAATTTTATGGAATTTTTCAATGAGTGTGTAATTACTTCTTAATGTACAATACTTTCAGTAAAAACCGGAATGCGCTCATAATTAATGCTTAATGACAATATTAATACTCGACATGAATGTAAATTTTTCTTATAAACGAATTTATACATTGAGAAATGAAAGATAATTTGAACTTATAAAGCATTTACTACTTGAATATTTCATCAATCGCAAGCGAAATTTTCATCTAGAGTAAAACCTTTTTTTTTGTGCGGTAGATAGGGACCGCATAAAAGAAATCGCACAAAAAAAAATCGAATGTTCCATAAATTCTTACATATAAACAAATAACTTTGTATAATACATTACAGAAACTTTGCACTTAAAAATACGTCAAAACTTTACTTAAATTAAATTGCACATGGAAATACTTCATTTCTCATTGTACATATGGATAAATTTTCAAAATTAAGAAAACTCGCATCTTATTTTGATAAATTCGTCAAAATCGACTTACAGAATCGTTTGAGCAGGCTTTACATATGAGAAAGTGTTACAAAACAATCGCATAAAAAAGGACCGCACAAAAACAGGTTCTACTGCACTTATTACATTTTGTATAATTGGATTGGACAAATAATAATGCCTGATCCTTAACTTTACGTGCATTTTGAATGTAGTGATCGAGTCACAATTTGTTTCTTTTGTTTTCTTTCGTGACAGTTGTTTGTTTTCCGCTTCTGCTTGGGAATTACGTGAATATTTATTTAAGTGTTTCGCGATTATTATTTTTTTTTTGGCTGCTGCAAAGTTTATTCACCTACTCAATTTAAATATATACACTAGCAAACCTCTTAGCTCACATGCCCGAAAACTAAATACATTTCGAACTAAGCAAAATATTTTGCTTACAAAACAATCACTTTTTTTAAGTAATTTTTTTTATTTCGTGTATTTTCTGTAATTGCTGTTATTGTTATTTAATTACGGTTTGATTTATTAATTAAATTGTTTTTATTTTTTTTTGCAAATTTGTTATAATAGAAACGATTTAATTGTGTTATTTACAGAAATAATGAACATTCTCTGTTAATCCCTGACATCGTTTGTGATTTTGAAGGGCAGATGGGAGAACTAATGGAATAAAACTGCGATCGCATGTGCAAATGTTTAAAGGGCGATCAACAATTTGATAGATATAGCAAATGTTTACCGTACGCACCTCGAGTGTGTAGAAACAAAAGGCGGCCGTTTGTTATGCTTTTGTTTTGTTTTTTCTGCACTCTCCAGGTGTAAACGGAAAACAATTGTTTGTGTCAATATAAAACACATACGAACTTTAACTTTCATCAAGTGTTCAGTTTAAGTATCGTTTGTTTTTTTTTTTGCACTTTCCTCGATATTTTTAATTGTAATTGAACTTTGGACATTTTTAATAATTTAATTTCAAATTAATTTGCAAAAAAAATATTTAAATACTAAAACTTAAATATTTATAATTGTTCAACGTTTGTAAAAGAATAATAAAAGTATCGTTTGTTTTTTTTTTGCACTTTCCTCAATATTTTTAATTGTAATTGAACTTTGGACATTTTTAATAATTTAATTTCAAATATGATTTTTTCAAATTAAGTTGCAAAAAAAAATATTTAAATACTAAAACTTAAATATTTATAATTGTTCAACGTTTGTAAAAGAATAATAAAAGTATCGTTTGTTTTTTTTTTGCACTTTCCTCAATATTTTTAATTGTAATTGAACTTTGGACATTTTTAATAATTTAATTTCAAATTAAGTTGCAAAAATAAATATTTAAATACTAAAACTTAAATATTTATAATTGTTGAACGTTTGTAAAAAAAATAATAATAAATGTTTGCGTTTGCAATATGCAGATTTTTGCAGCTGTTGCAAATTGTTGAGGCTGGAAATGCAGAAAGTTTGTTTGAGGTCGATGTGGGAATTTTGAAACGTATCGTTGGATTTTCTTGTGTTGCGCCTTTCGAATCGAGATTCAAATTTGCAACAAGGATACATTGCGCAAACGTAATTTGCACGAGCGTCTACTATCCTCTATTTGCAGTTGCATTTTCTTCTCCATCGACAAAACTGAGTTGAAATAATTGTAACAATTTAAATATTGGTTTTGTGTTCTAGCAAAAATTATTACAAATCAAATGCAGCAACAAGTTTGCAATTCAAATATAAGAGTTTCATTATTCTTTGTAATTTATTAATAATAATAAGTGAATTTAGTAGTGAAGCGCGTCGTTTTGTTTTGATTGATTGTATCTGTTTATCAGTTAGTTGATTGTGGCAATTTTTGAGTGCCGAAACGCGTACGCATAAATATTATGCAATGTTTTGGTCGAATCATGCCGAAAATAAATGTTTCTCACGTGTATTGTAATGTATGCTGTGGTTGTCTTCAGCTGCACATGAATTAGGCGGCTTTCCTCATCTGCAGAAGTTGTTCCTTGTATAGAGACGAAGGAAGGACTCTCTCGCGTGGTCGTGTCGCGAGGATCACTACTACTGCTGCTGCTGCTGCTGCTGCTGGTGGCACTGGCACTTGCTGGCACTGCGGTCGGTGCACGAGTGTGCGAATCGGAAAGGTTTTCGTGTGATTGAAGCCACCGAGTTTTCCGACGGGGGGGACGCGACCCGATCCCCCTTTTTCCTTCACATATCCTCCATATATAACAATGTGTATATGGGATTTTCTCGTCGCGGTGCGCACGGTTTGGTTTCTGACCCAAACATGATCATCATCTTCATTGTTCTCTCTCATTCACTCAATCACTCACTCTCTATCTCTCTCGAGTTGCACACCTGCAACCCCCGAAAAAATCTCTCTCCTTTGTATCCGCAACAAACAAGAGCAAATCCTTATTCTTTTCGTCTCTACGTCGCTCGGTTTTTGGGGGCATGGAACTACTGTCGGGTTTGTTGTGCCCTCGTCAATTTTAAGAATGCTCACAGAAATCGATGTCGTCGGTTCGTGACTAATTTATTCCTAGCTCGGAGAAGAATAAGAATGAATTTGTCTGCTAGTTCCATGCCTTTATGATAGGCGAAAGAGTGGAAGAGGGTGCATAATTCACATCGAATAACCCAGTTCCATTTCACAAAAACAACTAAAATTTAACATTTACAAACAACATTTTTAACTAAAATTAGTAGTATAAGTACAAGTATTTCGTTTTTTTTTTATAAAGTAATTTAGAAATGTGATTAAGCCTCTTGCGAAACTCGATTATTTCTTTTTTTTCCATTTTGTTTGCAAAAAGGAAATGCAATTAACATTCGCCTCGCATTTTCAATTTTCAATTTTCCACTTTTCTCTTTTTTTTTATTATATTTAACACACATATCCCATTTCCATCGCTTTTTTTTTTGTTAGTGAATAGAAACGTAATTGCTTGAAAGCACTTATTTGTAAACGATTTCATTGATTTTTTTTTATATGATTTAATTTAATAAGCTGTTTATTTATTGCAAATTGCAATCAACATTATTTTTTTGTTTGTTAAATCCAAAAATTATTGATTTGTAGCTGATTTATTGCAAAATTGTTTACCTGCAAATTCTTAATTTATTAAAATTTCAAGTGCTTTTAAAGTACGATTATTCACGATTATTTATTGATTTGTTGTTATTGCTTTAATTTTTAAATGAATTGTGATGTCGAAATAGGATTAATTAACAATTAAATAATTACTGTTGTTTATTTGTTTTTTTCTGTGAAAATTTGATAAAGAAAATGTGCTTTAACAAAGAGAATATCTAAATTAGATTAAGCCCTTTTTTTTTTAGTATCGATTTGACCCAAAAACGAAATCCAAAAATTATTGATTTGTAGCTGATTTATTGAAAAATTGTTTACCTGCAAATTCTTAATTTATTAAAATTTCACGTGCTTTTAAAATACGATTATTCACAATTATTTATTGATTCTTATATATTATTTTTTTTGTTGTTATTGATTTAATTTTTAAATTAATTGTGATGTCGAAATAGGATTAACAATTAAGTAATTACTGTTGTTTTTTATTTTTTTTCTGTGAAAATTTGATAAAGATAATGTGCTTTAACAAAGAGAATATCTAAATTAGATTAAGCCCTTTTTTTTACTATCGATTTGACCCAAAAACGAAAAGGTCTATCGAACGCGCGCATTCCTGTTTAAATTATTCAAACCGCTTTTATAATACCAGAATCGTTCTCGTTGCAATTTTTGCTGCTTGAAAATCGTTTGCAAATTATAGACGATTATGGCAAGTGTACAAGAACGTCAAGCTTTTTAATTATGTAATTTATCTGCACTGATTAGTTTGCCTCTCGGTTTCTATCTGACTCGATGTCGTTACAGATTACGCAACTGTCGTTACGATTTCAGGATAATTTCGTACTGAAAAAATGTACACTTGGGCCAAAGTGTAAACTCGCGAAGTGCACATGCACACTTTTTGCATTTTCTTATTTGTTTTGTCTTTCAGTGCTGGAGAAGTGTGGTCGATTCAGAATCGGGGGCAGACTTTCAGGCGTCCCTCACGAACGATTTAACTTTCATTCCTTCTCCCTTAATCCATCTCATTTCGTAACACTCATTCAAAAATTAAATATTGAATTGCTCTGAATACATTTCATCTCCTGTTAGATAATTATTTTTTTTCATGTCTTAGTTGAAAATCATTGAATTACATGAAATTTCTTAAAATGTTTTTGTAATTGTTGATTTAGATACGCAGCTATAGAAAATTAGTGTAGTATCTTCGAGCTGTTATGTAATAGTTAACAATATTTTGTGTTTGGATCGAGACATCTATGGACAGTGTCTCAAACTTTGAAGGATGTGACCTTTTTCGGTACAACTTGATCTTTGCGCTTGTAATAGTTTCGGCTTTTGAATGAGAGATGTCGCCGGTTGAGGGCGTCGCGACGGCGGAGCCACGTGGTCGCCACGCTGTGTTTTGATTGATGCATGTCGGACGGACGCCAGTCGTCGAGGCGTCGTCGTCGGCGTCGACTTTGCCCGAGACACCGTCTTCTCTCTTTCTCTCTATCTCTCTACATCCACCGCATTCATACATTTCGGAAACTTCTTAATAGTTTCTATCGATTGCAAAAGTAATAAAATCTATTCAAGAGAGAGAGAAAAAAAGAGTAGAAGACGGCACTTCAGTGGATGAGAAAATGAAAACTATTGTTCCTCTCCATTAAAAGGCCGAAATCATCTTACTCGATTTGCATTTCCATGCATTCGCAATCTATCTCAATCTGGAAGTGCAACAGAATTGTTGAAGGAAGATGATTGCGAATTCCAAAGTCAAGTCCATTAGCGCTGAGGTCGATTTAACTTTAAAATTTTCAAGGGTTCCATTAATCATCACCGTATATTTATTGCTGTACGCATACAATAATTCCGTATGCAGCAGCATGTAAAATCGCTTTTTAATCGTTCTTCCACTATTGATCACAGTTTTTTTTTTTTTACTCTTTCGAAAATTACATATTTCCAATCCAATCATTAATTTTTGTAAATGTTGTCATACATCTTTAATACGATTTTCAATGAAACTACATTATTTGTTTTTTATTATTTTATAGAAATTTATTCTGAATCTTAAAAAATCGTCGTGTCCGTAAAATGCGCTCACTGTTTAAAGACTTTGTGGAAATTTATGAAGCGAACTTTGCGAATGTTTCGACGGAAATCTGTAAATAAGAGAAAATATCATTTCCCAACTTTCATTTGCATATCTTATACAAGGATTCATTCCTTTTTTTTCTTTCGTTTCGAAAATATTTAAATTTTATAGTAGCAACGATTTCTATAGTAACCCGTAACAAAATTTCATTCAATTGTTTCATTAACAAACAAACAAACAAAATTTTCGAAATTTTAATAGAAACATTTAAACATATTGTTTAGAAAAATAAGAGTTAGTTTTTTTTTGATCAAGTGCTGCTCTCTTGAAAACCGTCAAAGTGTGAATTATTCGCACTTTACGTCATTTTCAGATGGATTTTCTATAGGAAACTTTGCAATCGATTTCAAAAAATTAACTAGTTTCATAAATTTTACACGTTTTCATCAATTTCAATATTAATCAAATGAATTGAAATCTATCGATGGAAAAGATAAAAAATGTGTGTGTTTCAATAAAAAATGCGTTCACTGTTTAAAGACATTGTGGAAATTTATGAAGCGAACTTTGCAAATATTTCGACGGAAATCTGTAAATAAGAGAAAATATCATTTCCCAACTTTCATTTGCATATCTTATACATTCCTTTTTTTCTTTCGTTTCGAAAATATTTAAATTTTATATAGTAGCAACGATTTCTATAGTAACCCGTAACAAAATTTCATTCAATTGTTTCATTAACAAACAAACAAACAAAATTTTCTAAATCTCAATAGAAACAATATGTTTAAAGCTTTAAAGAAATTGTTTAGAAAAATAAATTATTTTTTTTATCAAATGTAGCTCTCTTGAAAACGTGTGCATTAATACACCGTTGAAATGATTGCGAAATAAAACTGGTATGTGAATTGTTTGTTTTACGAGCGTTACGAGACTTTTAAACAAAACGAAAACCCCCCTAGTAACGAAATATTGTGTTTATGGTTTTGGAATTAGTGGAATTTGGTGCTTGCATTCCTTTCGCCTCGTAAAGTTGGTATTAATATTTAGGTTTTGGAAACGCGCGCGCGTTTCAAATTTATTGCTACATTATTATTTTTTTTTGCTCCTCTCGAATCTCCAAAATAATATATGAATAAATATAAGATTTAATGTTTGGTTGGCGGTCACGCTGGTACTAATTCATACTATGTTTCCTTCCTTCTTTCTTTCCATTCGGTTTTTCTATGGTTATTAGGTTTTTTATTTTATTTTCTTTCTAGCGAATACGAGTATTTGCATAATGTATGCTAAAGAAATATGGTAATATGTCAAGCGACGCTAAATAATGCACGTTGACATTTAGTGTTAGGGCTCTCCGGTATTAATTCACCACTCGATCGATCATCGCATTTGTTTCAAGTCGTATTCACTTGTGCTCGAATTGTGTGTACTTATTATTAACCGATCCACATTACAATTGGATTATGATATTTCCTCCTGTCCCATCCTGTTCAAATTCCATTAAAATGTATACTGCACGATGGAAAATTGTTTTCTACCCCAATTTGCTTGTACTCTATATTTATATATAGGGTAGGGTGGATGAATGATGGATTAGTTCGCATAACTTTCATCATTTGCCAAAGGAGAACAAATCAAATCTCTTCTCCCCTCAACTCTTTTCGTTCGTTTTGCTGTTCACTATATAGTATTAAGTAGGGTAGTCGGCTGTAACTGTTGTGGATGGAGTGAGGGAGGTTGGGAGAGAGGTGAAAAGTTTATTGAATCAATTCCTGCGACAATGCAATTTTTCACCGTTGGCGCGGTGAAAGTTTCCAGTTTAAATTTGATATAGACGCTTTTTCGTTGCGCGATCCTCAATTTAACTTTATTTCCGGGCAACTTGATTCCGTGCTCCAGAAAAATAATAGCTAGAAATCCAACCTAACAACACACACTACTACTACGACTACACATCTTGCTCTGCAAAACAATTCGCACTTTACGTCATTTTCAGATGAATTAT